TCTCTCTCTCTCTCTCTCTCTCTCTCTCTCACACACACACACACACACACACACACACACACACAGACACAGAGGAAAACATCCCCTGGGCTTCCAGTCGCCACTTACAGAACTCAAAATTTTGTAGTTTACGCATAGATGATAGGCTGAAAGGAATATGCAGGCTCAGCTTTCTTAGCGCAGAGCAAGTGCAGGCTTGGGTTCGTGGTGCACACTCAGAGCTTCTTCTGGTGCAGGCTAGTTTTCCCTACCCTGGTCCACGCTCAATTACCGGCGCGCGCTCAATCTCATACAGGCTCAATGTTTCTAGTGCATGCTAATGTTCTAGTGCATCCTCCAATGCATCTTCTAGTATACCTTCTCTTGCATGCTCCAAGCTTTTTCTAGTGCACGCTAAGCTCGTTCTAGTGCATGCTCAGAGCTTGTTCTAGTGCATGCTAAGCTTGTTCTACCTCAAGCTCAGTCTTTCTTGAACAGCCTGGTCGAGGTTGCGTTTGTTTTTAGCTGCATGCTCACATCGTCTTCTAGTGCATGCTCAGAGCTTGTGCTTGAGCATGCTCAGAGCTTCTTCTAGTGCATTCTCAAAGCTTCTTCTAGCTGGTGCTCAGAGCTTCTTCTAGTGCATGCTCAGTGCTTCTTATAGTGCATTCTCAGAGCTTGGACTAGTGCATGCTCAGAGCTTGGGCTAGTGCATGCTCAGAGCTTCTTCTAGTTGCTGCTCAGAGCTTCTTCTAGTTGCTGCTCAGAGCTTCTTCTAGTGCATGCTCAGAGCTTCTTCTAGTTGCTGCTCAGAGCTTCTTCTAGTGCATGCTAAGCTTCTTCTGCTGCAGGCTGAGTGTTTCTTGCGAAGCCTCAACTTCTTGTGGTCCAGGTGTTTGTTTAATGGTGTTTTTTGTTTTTTTGTTTTTTTTCCCCCTTAGAAACTAAGCTATATGTTTTTGGCTGCAGGTTCAGTACTTCTTGTACGCGCTAGCGCAGGTTGTTTTTTCTTTTTCCCTTTTGTTTGAAATAAAGACAAAAAAACAAACACATTATCGCTGGTTGAGTGTTTTTCCAATGCCGGCTCAGCATTCCTACCTACCCCTCGTTCCCCCGAACACAACACCCCGTAATCATAGCGGTATTTATTGCAACTTTAAGGCCAGGTACAGATACAACGACCGGGCTCAGAGTTCGGGCCAAGAACGTGTATCAAAAGTACCGGCTCAGTTTCGAGTGGAGGCTACCTCGGTGGGAGCCTCCTCTCCCCTACCTTCTTCCCCGGAATAGAATGCACCCTCATCATGAATGTATACAAGCTATCTTCCCGCTCTGATACCGAAATGATGAGGGTGCGATGTGTTTGGGGGAAGCAGGTGCCATGCACGCGTCACGCCGAAATTCGGCGTTACATACATCAACAAACAAATAAATTAAAGAGAAAACAAATAAATTAAAGAGAAAATAAATAAATTACCGAGAATACCAGCCGGGCCGCCCGGGTCACCTTGTTTGCCCAAGCAGCCCGGCCGTGCAAGGGCCAAAGAAGGACCCAGCCAAAAAAGAAAAAAAGTAAATTAAAAGTTCTGAAAAAAACTATGTTATGCAGAAAAAATAAACTGAACGACTTTTACCTCGGGGTCACATCGAAATTCCTTACCAATTTAAAAATAATAATAATAATAATAATAAATCCTTACCAATATATATATATATTTTTTATTATTGCCCCGGCCGGGCAAGTGATCCCGGGCCACTCTGGTAGCCCAGTTAAAATTACTAAATAAATACATAAATAACTTTAACAAGTCAGAGAGCGGAAAGAGAATTATGAATGATTATAAAAATTAAAAAAAAGAACGACGAATGAGCAGCCGGCTTACGTACCCATAGGGCCGCCATGCCAGCTTGACATCACCTACGACCGGTAGCAGGAGGCGCAGCCTACCGGTAGCCAGAGATCATCTCTTGCTCGCCTACCGTTTTCCCCCGAACACAATGCAACCCGATCATGAATGTATACACACCATTTTTGTGGTCCAATTCGGCCATCATGAGGGTGCGTTTTGTTCAGGGGAATACAGCAGCTTTTTTAGACATCCACTCCCCTTCCCCCCCCCCCTTTTTCTCCTGTTGACGTCCGTAATTTTCATTGCGTTTTGCCAGTCAAAGGAATGACCAGGCAGGTAGAAACAAACTTTTATATTACATAATTTACATTATTAATATTAAGTTACCATATTATGTCACACTGAAAAAGAAAAAGAAAAATTCACCTTGTTGTGCTTGATGAAATAATAATTAATTAGGTGAATAATAAAAATTAATTAGGTTTATCTTTAAAATATTAGGTTTTCTTTTTTCCTTTCGTGGAGACAAGCGGGTCACAAGGATTAAACATAAAACTCTCCTCTCCCTCGTCTTCCCTTCTTCTTCTTCTTCTTCTTCTTCTTCTTCTTCTGCTGCTGCTGCTGCTGCTTTTTCTTCTGCTTCTCTTTCTTCCCAGAAGAAGAAGAAACTATTCTTCCCTGCTTCTAAAAGGGGAGAAAGTGGGGGGGGGGGGGGGGGGGGCACCAGAGGATTTTTTGACAAGAGCATTAATCAATCCATCAATCAATCAATTTGATCAATCGATTGATCAATCAATCAATCAATCAATCAATCAATCATCTGTTTCATTCTCGCTTTGACTGCCTCTGAAATTCATTCCTAAACAGGAGTGGTTGATCTCCACTTCGACGGAATGAAACCCGTTCTTCCCTAAACTGCAATGGCAAGCCGGCCCATTAAACATGAACTGAGCTGCCTAGCCTGCCAAAAAAAAAAAAAAAAAAAAGAGCAATCCAAGGACAGACCACACGTAGGTGGAATGACCAACCAAAGGAGATCACAGAGCGAGAGAGAGAGAGAGAAAGGCCAAGAGAGCGGGAGCGAGCTAGAGAGAGAGAGAGAGAGTCAGGGAGAGAGAGGAATCCACCCATTCGCCCACGACAAAGAAAGAGCAAGAGAGCGAACGAGCGAGCAAGCGGGAGAGAGAGAGAGCGGGAGCGAGCTAGAGAGAGAGAGAGAGAGAGAGAGACGAATCCACCCATTCGCCCACGACAAAGAAAAGAGCAAGAGAGCGAACGAGCGAGCAAGCGGGAGCGAGCGAGCGAGCGAGAGAGAGAGAGAGAGAGAGAGAGAGAGAGAGAGAGAGAGTAGTTGTCGTTGGTGAACCACTGACCTTCATAACGCTCATAGCGTATTTGAAGTTAGGTCCCTGCCTGACCGTATAGACTCTGTTCGATAGATCAGGCGTTCGGCTCTCCCGTCTGCCTGAGGAGGAGGAGGAGGAGGATTTCCTCTTCCTTCCTGATGAAGACGACCCCATGGCTATGGCCACCTCGACCTTGGGGGTCGAGGGGCTTCTAGCCAATGCCTTTCTGGTAGCCAACTTGGCGATTAGGGGTACCTACCCCTCTCCCCTGTCCCCCTTTAAACCCCAACCGCGCAAGAAACCTCTCCTCCCCCTCCTCCTCCCCAGCCTCGGGATCACCGAACTCGCATAATAGCCTTGTTTCCCCTCTCCTCTCTCCTCCTCCTCCTTCTACCTCCCTCCCTCCCCCTTACCTCTCCTTCCTCCTCCTACTACCTCCCTCCCCTCTCCCTCTCCTCCTCCTCCTCCTCCTCCTCCTCCCTCTCACCTTCTCCCAGGCTCCAGTTACATAAAAGCCGCCTCCGCGGCCAGCCTACTGCGTGTCCTTCCTCCGAAGCTTGATTGATGACTCTACGTCATTTCCTGCAGACAGACAGTGAAAAAAAAGAGCGGGAAAAATAAGAATAAGAAGATTGGGGAGAACAAAAACAGAGTGGGAAAATAAGGAGATGGTGGGAAAAAAAAAAGAGCGGGAAAAATAAGAAGATGGTGAAAAAAAAAAAAGCGGGAAAATAAGGAGATGGTAAAAAAGAGCGGGACAATGAGGTGTGTGTGACGGAGCACTGCAACCTCGCACGTTAACCGTCAATCAGAATATTGCGGATAAGGGATGCTACCAAAAAAAAAAAAA